TGAGATTTTTCCTACCGCCCTTTTCTCGAGCATTCCGTTGCACACGTTCACGTTCACACGTTTTTCATAGGTTTCCTGCATATCATGCTTTTCGGTGGTTGTTGCTCCTGTTTTACTATGAAGCCTGCGGCCAGCTGTTGGCTGCTTCAAGTCCTCACACAAACGCATACAAACACACAGACACAGACAGGCACATTGCGTCTCGTCCGTTTTGCTGTCTCGTGTCGTTGTCGTCACGCGCAGTGCATTGGCCTTTCGCTCACAAGGGCTCTCAATGCTATTTAAGCGGCGTTCCTCCGAACGGCCGTTTTAACAAATGGCCGCCGCCGCCGACGACGTCGCGCGCGCTTCAAACTTGAAATTGTATTATTATTGTTGTTGTTGCTCTTTAGGTTTTTGGTTTTTTATTCGGTTAATTTGTTTAACGTCGTTGGCTGCAAATTTGCTGTTATTGGAACCAAGAAACACACACAAACATACACACACACAAGCGCGCGCGCGCCAACAAATCAGGGGCAACATTATTTGTTGTTTGTATAAATGAACTTCAAGCTGTTACCTTGGCGCAAATCTTTTCTTTGTATTTTTATGAGCTTTTAAAGTTTTGCGAATTAGCCATTAAACTCATCCTGTTTAACTCCAACTACACACATACGTACATACATACATACATACATACATACATGTACGTACTTATTATCCAATGATCAGCAGGACGGATATATGCGAGACAGAGACAGACATACATACATAGTTTACCTGACTTTTATGACTTTGTTTTGCTGTCACTTTGACAGCTGCGGCGACCTGCCTGCCAGATTTGTTTCCTGCTGGTTGTAAAAACCCCGCAAGAGAACAATCAGGTGTGCGCTCGCTCTTGCCTACTTCCATTGCATATTCTGCAAATGTAAAACACATTTCCATGTACATACATGAATACATTATGATGCATGTATGTATGTATATTAGTAAGTGAAGTGTAGCTAAAATTCCTAGCACAAAAACAAACAGAGATAAGCCCACCACCACACGGGCTAGCCTAGAGCTGCGTTGAAAAGACAAAAAGCAGGCACGACAAGACGCGAACGAACGAGCACAAGACTAAAATACTAACACGACACATACATACATACATAGACATAGGCATGCCTATATGTACATACATACATCCAATCATATACACAAGCGCATCGGCAAAGATCTCTGGCTGCTACGGTAAATCTACCTGAAAGCGGAAAATTTTCGTATGCAAAAATGTCAAAAGTGAACAAAAATTAACAACACTAACATGGAGAAAAAAAAAATGACATTCGGGTGTCCGGCGGCTCGTGCGCTCTTCGTACTCGCCTTGTGCTCTCTTTGCGTGAAGAGTGTCGCTTAAGAGAACTTGTGTGTAGCGTAACGGTGTGCAACGTAAACATAAAACAGCTGTGCCACACGTAAGGAAAACGTATGATCGCGTGCGCGTAACGTACACAAACACAATTCAAAAGAAAAAAACATAACGCAACAACGGCTCTCAACGGTGGGAAGCGGAAAGGCAAATGAATTAAGGCAAACGAAAAGAAACCAGTGCTACCTATTTTTAACATAACTTATCCATTTAAAGTGTAGAGTGAAACTAAAAGCAAATGCGTAATATTAATTAAAAGTAACAAATCAGAAATTGAGGAGAGCAGCACAACTACAATAAAACAAGCACCAGCAACAACTATAACAAAAAAAAACAACGCATCAATTATTTATCACGCAGCAGCAGCAACAACAACTAAGTATGCAAATATACTTGTATAATGTAAAAGTGATTCTCACCCAAATTGGTCACTATTTTTATAGAACAACCAACCATCAGCGGCGGTAGCAACAATATTAACAACAATAAACTCATCGTCCAATTGAGTAGCACGAGAAAAACACCGCACTTGCCTATCGATTGCCCGTCAAACCGATATATACACAGTTTTCAACACTGTTCGGCCGAAGAGCAAGCACAGCTGATTGTGCCTGGTTGGCTGTTGTGTTTTTTGGGTGTGCGCGGGGCAGTGAAAGGTTGTCTGCGTGCCGAGCGACCGACAAATAACAGTATAACAAGAGCATCAACAACTACTGTGTGTGTGACGTGGTGGAAACAACAGAACACAACACAACAACAACAACAAAACACACACGACCACGTCGTGCAGGTGGCAGTTTAGAACAGCTGTTTCAACACATCAAAACTATAAAAAGCCAATGAAATCTACAAAGCGCTGTCGACTATTTAATGTAAATACATTCACATAAACATACCTATATTGTAAGTACATTAGTATTTGCGTCTTCTGCTTCTTTATTTCAATTCGTTTAAATATTTTGTTTTCATATTGTGTTGTGACGCGTGCCCCCCCCACGCCTGTAGCTTTTCCAACAGTGGTGAGATAATTACACACTCGTTCGTATACATTCAACAATAATAACAACAAGAACCAAGTAAGCTAAAGTTTTTAATTTTTGCTAAGACGTGCAACGGGCCGCAAGCTATTTCAGATAGACAGACCTACCCACACATTAAAACGAAAAAAACCCCGTGTATAAGTAAATGTACGAAGATAAGCGAATGTGTTGTTGCTTTTGAGCAAAAAAAAAAAACCGTAAGGTCTCCACGCATAACACAACACGCTCTCGAAGAGCGGTTGAAAGAGAGAAAGAAACGCATAGCGAAAGAGAGCCGCCACCAATACGAATAACGGACTGGCCAACGGCCAGCGGCAGAGTGCCAAGTGCGCACATTAAATTGCAAACTTGTTTTTCATTTTTGCTCTGCGCTTCACTTCCATAATAACTATATTACAATAACAACAACAACAAATGCTTGTCAGCAGTAGTAGCAGTAGTAGCAAGTGATACAAGGCACGTACGTATTTCAAACGAAACATCGAGACGTTGTTTGGTCGCTGATTTTCAAGACGAAACGGAGCGAGTGAGCGTGCGAGAGTAAAGCGAAAGAGCGCCAAACTGATCGCGCCTATTATACTCAGTACTCAGTGCATGTGTGCATGTGTGTGTGTGTGCGAGAGACACGACGACTTTTGCTGTTGATCTACTCCGTCGCGTCACACACTCGTCGACTTCGCTGTCTTAGCATTGTCAACGGGGCGGTGGTGAGCGGTGTAATAATAAACGAGTGCACAGCAGCAGCAGCAGCAGCAAAGCAGCAACGGCAACGGCAACCACTTGAAAGCAACTCGTTTCGATTTCATTTAGCAGATACCTTTTGTACGTTGATTAAGATACCTTGGACACACAGACACGAGCAAATTTTTATGTGAAAAAGGAAATAAAATGCAATTTTACAATTTATTTGTAAGCAAAACAAAATATAACGCGTGAAAAATACGTTAAATTCCAGTGCCGCCATATGTGTGTTAAAATAACGCAGCAAATTGCCAATCAAAACCGTCTTGAGTAAAAGTGTTGGCGTAAAAACCCATAATCATGCATATGTATGCATGCATATATACTCACGCACACAAAAGCAAATGAAAAAACAACAAAATAAGTGTTAAAAGGCATTAAAAAGTTAACAATATTTCGAGTGCCTGAACTCTGTGCCTACAATTCCGAATCTGATAGTGCGAGTGTGTGCGTGTGCAAAGAAAGAGATATTCACACATATGTATGTATATGCAGCTAATATAGAAGTGGACAAAAAATATAATAAGCAGCAAAAAAATTTATATATATACATATAAAAAAAATCAACGTACAAACACAGATGATTTTTAGCAAAAAATAAAAAAGCGAAAAGAAAAAAGATCAAGCAGCAGCAACAACAACAACAGTGAGTGGTGAAGCCAATCAAAACAGCAGTTGTCCCGCTTTAACACGCTGTGATCGGCGAGAGCGCGAGAGCAGAGCCAACAAACCAGCGAGCACACACACACACTACCAAAAGCAGTCAAGCGACGTGTGTCCATATCGGTGTATGTGTATGGATGTGTGTGCGAACAGCATTGATTGCTCGCTCTGCTGTCTTTGATTTTGCTTATGGCTGCCGCCCGACTCACACATACATATTGACAACTTGAGCACCTGGCGCAGGAGTCACACTTTCAACTGAAGCAACCAAAAGTTACAACAGCCATTCGCACGCCTTACACACCGACATGTCAAAGCAGCAACAACAACAGTAACAACAACAGCAGCAGCAACAGCAACAACAACAACAAGAATTGCAATGCATACATGCCTACCTTAACCCAATTAAAATACATACCATATTATTTAACAAAAGAAATTGTGTTATTTGCAAGTGGCACACAAAGAGAGCAGCAACAACGTGCAGTGCAAATATGAACCAGACTTGACGAAAGTAGAGAGGCAACGAGAGAGAGAGAGTGCGAGAGAGAGAGAGAAATGAGACCTATGTATACGGAAGTGAAATTCTCAAGCAACAACAAAAATATTAAGAGTTGTGCGTGTATTTGTATTCGTGCCTGCATTTCAAATCAAAAATTGAAAACAAGAAAGAAAAGAAACGCAACGACAACAGCAACAATAGCAACAGTAACAACAGTAACAGCAACAACAGCAGAAGCAGCAGCAGCAGCAAGTTTGCAGCGCAGCTCAAAACTCTCAGGAGAGCGAGCACAGTGCACACATGCGCATGCATGCATTCAGTAGTATGTATTAATGTGTGTGAGTGTGTGTGGTGTTTAATTTTTTTTTGTGAAGCTATGCATTTACCTCTGTTCACGTCTTAGCAACAACGTAAATTTTACTTGCGATTACAACATACTAAAGAAAACATTTATAAATTGCACAGAAACTAAAACAACAATCAGTTGCCATTGTCGGCCCCAGGCTTCTTCTACGTCACATTTGAGATCAGGATTGGTGCCAGCAGCGACGCATTGCAACAATATCCTGCAACAAACACAACTACAACAACTTCCTGTTAACGTTGCTTCCATTTAATTCTTCCGCGCAAAAAAAAAAACAAAAAAAAAAAAAGCACTAAATTCTTTAATTTATTGTTCAACACTGGCGCGCTAGCCGAAAAAAAAAACGAATATTTGCCATTTTGCCACGCAAACGTCACAGCGACTAAGCATCCAACTTAACAGCAAATACAACGTGTAGTTCAAGTAATTAACAAAAACAAAACAACTAGAAAAAATTATCATTGTGATCATCAAAATCATAATCAAGAATCAACTTTTGAGGGGGGCGGACACGTTATGAGCAATTCGATTGCATCAACAAAATGCCTGCCCAATGTCTCGCTCTCGTCCGGAAATTATGGTATGTCCCAAAGCCACCGTTACACCGATGATACAAAGGAGTATATATTCCTTAAGCTAACCGACTCTGCCTTCCGTGCCATCGAGGAATATCAAAGAAACGAGAATGCCAAACGCCTTGCGCCCGGCCAGTGTGCAAAAATTCAATGCAATGGCAACACTGGCGTCATACACTTCCCGCTGCCAAGCAGCGATAACAGTTCTGTTAATAACAGCAGCGGCAATGGCGGCAGCGGGATGGAAAACGGCGGACGTAAATTTGGCTTCACCATTGACGAACTGGAGGGCACATTGGAGTGCATACAGCAGCAGCACGAGGGACTCGATGTCCTTGGTGCATTGGCGCGACGAATGCGAATTCATGCCAACGATGATGTCTACGATACAACGCGATCCAAAATGGCCCGGGCCGAGGAGACGGAGAAGAGCAAGTGTATACGGGAGATCAAGCCAAATCAATCGGATATTGGGCGTAAGGTGAAGAAGCCGGCCTCGGCATCATCGCATCACAGTGGGAACAACAACAACAGCAACAACAACAGCAACAATAGCAGCAATAGTTTTAACAGTAACAATAGTCGTAAGTTAGTTTCATCGCCATTTAATGGCCTGACATCGTCGTCATCATCAGTTGCAGCAGCAGCAGCAGCAGCATCAGCGGCAGCGGCAACAGCAGCAATCACAATCGCCTCACGCTCGCCCAATCCCAATACGTTGGGTGCCAGCGGCACAGTCAATGGCAGTCGCAGCACAGCCCTGGCCAACACATTCGCCAATGGTATCTCACAGGGCTGTGCGCTCAGCGGCAGCTCGCCCAGAGAGCACAGCACAACAGCAACTGTTGCTGGCACAGCAGCAGCAGCAACAGTTGGTTGCAGCAATGGACGCAATAAAATGCTCAACGGCAGCGGCAACAATTCGCGCAGTGGCAATGCCAAATCAGGCGGCGGTGGAGCAGGTGGGGCAGGTAATGGCAACAAAATGTCGGATGTATCGCGGCGCAGCATTCGCGAGCGTTTGATACATTTGCTGGCATTGAAGCCGTTCAAGAAGCCCGAGCTGTATGCACGCCTCAAGAACGAGGGCATCAAGGATCGGGAACGCAATCTAATTGGCAATATACTCACGGATATAAGCACCATGTCGCATAATACGTTCAATTTGCGCCGCCAGATCTGGAACGATGTTGATGAGAATTGGCCGTTCTTCAGCGAACAGGAGCTGCAGCAGCTAAAGCGTCGCAAGCCACAGAATCTGACGCCGCCCATGAGCTCCGATGCGGGCAGCTCCACCTCCGGACAGAGTCCAACGTCCACGCACACGGGCAGCCCGCCGCCGTTGCTGCTAATGCCACCAAATGTCGGACAGCAATCGGGCGGCGGCGGCGGACCCGGCAACGGCGGCAATAGCCTGAAACGGAGCAGCATCGAGTACGATGAAATGTTTAGCACGGTGCATCCGAAGAAACAGCGCATCAGTCATTACAACAGGGAGTCGGGCGGCGGTCCACAGTTTACAGCCGCGCCCGCTAACTGCCCCAACTCGGGCACGTCCTATCGCAGTCGAAATGCTGCCGCCTATACGCCGCCGCAGCGCCAGCATCCGCAGCTGGACGAGCACAGCAGCAACGATTTGACCTACAGTGTGCTGGACAACCTGGACGAGTTCCGTAGCATGACAGCAGCAGCTGCTGTTGGCGAGCAACAGCAACAACAGCAGCGCAGCAGCAGCAGCAGCAACAGTCGACGTGGCAGCGGCGGCTCCGCCAAGCAGAGCAGCAGCAGCAGCAGCAATGGCAACGGCAACGGCAACGCAGACAAGCGCAACTCGACGGGCAGCAACTCGAGCAGTTCCAGCGGCTATGAGACGCAGCTGGAGCGCAACAGTCGTCAGTCGTCGGCAGCGCAGACGACGGCACGAAAATCCTCAACAACGCCGCCCAAATTAGCTGCCAGCTTTGTGCGACAATCGACACAGCAGCAACAACAGCAGCAACAACAGCAGCAACAACAGCAGCAGCAGCAGCAGCAACAACAGCAGCAGCCGCAGCCACGTGGCAACAGCTTCAGCAGCAACAACAACAATGCGCACGATGAGTACAATTCATACAACAACAACACGCATGCCGCGTCCAATAGCAAAAAGCGCACGAGTAGCAGCAACAGCAACGGACAACGTCAACGCAACAGCACCAGCAGCAGCAGCAACAATCACGTCTATCAACAGCAGCAGCAACAGTTGCAGGCGCCAGTGCAGCAGCAGCAGCAACAACAACAACAGATGCAGCAGCAACAGCAGCAGCAGCAACAACCTTATCATAATCGCGAGTCGACGAGCAAAAGCGCGAATGGAAGCGGCGGCAACAATCAGACGACGGCCAAGCATCCGTCGCCCACACAGCAGCTGGCGGCGGCTGCGCATGCGTATGCGGCGGCAACGGCGGATGCTGATGCGAATGCCACGCCCCGTTACGATTTCAGCCAATATGCGCCCATACGCACGCTGGAGGTGCGCAGGCGCTATAAGACTGAATTCGAGAGCGACTACGACGAGTATCGCAAACTGTTGACCAGCGTCGAGGATGTGCGCAATCGTTTCCAGGATCTGTCCAAGCGTCTGGAGGGCGCCCGGCGACGCGGCGGCGGCGACTACGATCAAATCAAGCGGCAAATTGTTAGCGAATACGAGCGCATCAATAGCGATCGCAGCATTCACAAGGACAAGCTGAGATTCGACTATCTGCACGCCAAGTTGGCGCACATCAAGCAGCTGGTCATGGACTATGACAAGACTCTGATGAGCGCCACGGCAGCAACAGCAGCAATGCCGGAGCCAGCAGCTGAGGCTCAGGCGGCGGCAGCACGTTTGGCGGAAAGCAGCAACTGCAACAGCAACATGCAACAGCAGCAGCAGCAACAACATCGCCAGCAGCAGCAGCAACATCATGCTGTGGAAACGATACAGCAACAAGAGCAGCAACAGCAACAGCAGCAGCAGCAGCAACATTTCATCAACAACAGCAACAACCACGAGAGCGACTCGGATGACAGTTCCGGCAGCTCCGATTCCAATGATGATGATGATGATGACGATGAAGATTGCGAAGATTCCAACTCCAACACAGACGACGACGACGAAACCTACTGAGAATAAACGAATCAAACAACAACGCAAAGCTACTTCTTGATAAAACGATAAACGAAACAACAACAACAACAACAAAAAGGCTGCAGTTGCAGTTGCAACCAATGTAAAAAGGCAAAAAAAGAAACTATTATACATAAATATATATATATATATATATTATTATATAAATATATTACACACCTAATCTAGTAAAAAGCAACACCAACAACAACAACAACAACAAAACACTTGTACTAAGATGAAAGTAAAAACAACAACAACAACAAAATGTTCAAGTTATGTTAACAATTATAAACGAAAGGCAGGAAAAAACAACAACAACAAGAAAAACAACAACTATTTGCAAAAAGGAAAAACAAATCAAAATGAACAAAAAATCAATAATTTTTTTTTTGTACACTTGAAAACTGAGTAAAAACGAAAATGTCAACTTTTGTTTGTTTTTGTTTTTTTTTTTTCTTCTAACATTTCGTGTGTAATAATAATTAAAAAATATGTTTATCAAGCAACTTTTTAAATAATATATAAACTTTTATATAAACTAGAGAGAAAAAAAAACTCTTTTTCTATTGAAAATGTTTCCCTTTTTACAACAACAACATCAACAATCATTTGTTACGCATTCGCTTCATTATTATGATAATTATAATTATTATTTTTTTTTTATATATGAGTATATAATTTCCTATCCATGCACTCTGATATATATATTATACCGGGAACAACAATAATAACATATGATTTTATGCATGCGCACAGTGTGCCGAGAGCAATTTGTGCCTGTGCAGCTGGCAATACACACACACACTCACACACACACACACTCACACACACAGACACACCTTTATATATATATATATATTAACTTGTTGTGGTGTTGCATGCGGGCGTGCCTCTTTAACAATAGACTGAACGAACTTTGAAACGGCTTTTTTCATTTTTGCCAAATTGTGTAATTCATTCATATAATTTTGTATGTTTGTTTAGTTTGATTTTGTGTGTAAAATTGTTGAAAAATAGTTAATTTCTGTTATATATATATATATAATATAATATACGTCATGCTCAGAACACAGTTTGTTTTGTTTCTTCTGCCAATTGGCCCAAACGCACGTCTCGAAGCAAGACAAGGTTCTGCTCAAAAAACACAAAACATTTAAGAAGAGTTCATCAATTTACTAAACAAATGAGTTATAGACATGATTGTGTGCTAGAGATTGAGAGCTAGTTTCTAGTTTCTGAAACAAATTGAAAAAGCACGCTGCAGACGCTTCCTTAAAGATATTTATGTGCATAAGGAATCAAAAAAAAAAATGAAGGATATATATATTGCTTGAGAAGGATTATTCAATAATTTGCTGAAACAAAAGAAACAAACGACAAATCCTTTTGTTAGCTATTTCGTTGCACTATTTTTTATATAACATATTTAAGTGTAGTAGAAGCAAAAACAAAAACAAAAACGAAACGAAAAGGGAAAATCAAATGAAACATTGAGATCAAGTTGCAAAAAATCAAGCGTTTAAAATCGATTTGTAGCAATTACAAAACAACAAACAAACAAACAAATGATATATACAATTTATATACAACAAAAAACTATATATATATATATATATATATATTATATACAACATTGACATTTGCTAAATGATGAGCATGAGACGAGGGAGCGGGTAAACACTTGCTAGTTTTATAAACATAAATGCCACGCCCACACGCCACAAAAATCACACACACACACCCACACACACTCACTCACACACACAAACTAATCAACTGCAATTTGTAAGAAGAGGAAAACTTATTATTGATAAATAAACAAAACGTAAAAAAAGCAACAAAAAAAACAACATATATAAAGTTTGTGGAAAAACAAAAAGGAGTAAACCAGATCAAGAGACATGAGAAAATTATTATTATTATTATTACAAATTATTATTATTATTATTGTTAGTTTAAGAGCAAAATCGCTGACAAAACCAGCAAAATTAAAAATCTTAAAAAAAATGAGATATTGTTATATACTAGTAATTCTTAAGGCGACAAACAACAACAACAACAACAACAACAACAACAAACAAAACAGAAGAAAGAAAGAAAGAAAGAAAAAAAAACTTAACAAAAAAAAGCAAAGAAAAATAGAGTCAAATAAAATATTGAATCGAACATTGTGCAATTGTTTCTATTTTTCCAACAAATTTTGGGCCGAGTTTCTCTCTCGATTTTCATTTATTTTCTTTGTATTGAGTTCCTTAAATTGACCAGCTTTTCGCTTGATCCTGCACCACGGTAAAGACAACAACAACGGAGCCAAAATTCTGCAAACACTTAACGTTTATTGATAATAATATTATATACTTTTGACTTGTAGAAGAGGAAGAAGCGGTTGAGGACAATGCGCAGGTGGCGGAGCTGTCCAACGATTCCGATGCCCCATTGAAGCCGAATGTGAGTAGCTTCACTTGATAACCTAAGCATCTTTAGCTAATCCTTTGGGTTGTTGTTGCAGAATGACGAGGATGATGATTACGATCCGGAGGATAATCGCAAGAAGAAGAAGGGCAAGAAGCGTAAGACCCGCAAGGGCGAGGAGAAGGGACGCAAAAAGAAGAAGCGCAAGAAGAATGAGAGCGAAGAGGACAGCGATTTTGTGCAGCACGACGAGGAGGTCGAGTATCCGAGCACCTCATCGAAACGTGGACGCAAGCGCAAAGAGGAGAAGCAGGCGCAAAAGGAGAAGGAATCTTCCTCCTCGGGTGAGTATTGCAACAGCAAATTAATTAACATCAACTAAACATCTACTCGTTTAAATATTGCAGGAATGCCTTCTGTCGAGGACGTGTGCTCCGCATTTGGTGTGTGCGATGTGGAGATTGAATACAGCGAGGAGGAGCTGCAGAGCCTGACCACATACAAGGCATTCATGCAGCACGTGCGACCCATCTTGCAGAAGGAGAATCCGAAAATCGCTGCGCCCAAGCTCATGATGCTGGTCGCCGCCAAGTGGCGGGAATTCTGCGAGAGCAATCCCCATATACAGCAGGAGCAGCAGCAGGGCGGACAGGCGCAGGCGGCGACAACGGCGGCCGAGCCAGACGAGCCGCGTTCGTCGCGCTCGTCGCGTAACGAGAAGCCGGACGACATTTACGAGGAGGAGGAGGAAGAAGAGGAAGAGGAGGAGGAGAAGAAGCCGCGACGCAAACGCAGCGGACGCAGCAGCAACAAGAAGGGACGTCGTCCGTCGGGCAAGGTGCCCACATTGAAAATCAAGTTTGGCAAGCGCAAACGCGACAGCTCCGACGAAGAACCCGATGCAAGTGGCGCCTCCGAGCGTGACTCTGATCTGGAATTCGAGCGTATGCTGCAAAAATCGGACGATAGCGCCGACGAGAAGGAAAAGGAGAAGGAGAAGCAGCCAGCAGAGACGGCAGCCGCAGCTGCGGCTCAGGAGGATGGGGCGCCCGTGGTGCGCAAAAAGGCCAAAACCAAAATTGGCAACAAGTTCAAGAAGAAGAACAAAATGAAGAAGACAAAGAACTTCCCGGAGGGCGAGGACGGCGAGCACGAGCATCAGGACTACTGCGAGGTGTGCCAGCAGGGCGGCGAGATCATCCTGTGTGACACCTGTCCGCGCGCCTATCATTTGGTGTGCCTGGAGCCGGAACTGGACGAGCCGCCGGAGGGCAAATGGTCGTGCCCGCACTGCGAGGCTGATGGCGGCGCTGCCGAGGAGGAGGACGATGACGAGCATCAGGAGTTTTGCCGCGTATGCAAGGATGGCGGCGAGCTGCTCTGCTGCGATTCCTGCCCATCGGCATATCATACCTTCTGTCTGAATCCGCCGCTGGACACCATACCCGACGGCGACTGGCGTTGTCCGCGCTGCAGCTGCCCGCCACTAATCGGCAAGGCCGAGAAGATCATCACCTGGCGTTGGGCGGTGCAGCGTCGTGGCAGCAGCGAGGCGTCCACCTCGAAGAGCGCCAAGGTGGGCAATCGTGTGCGCGAGTACTTCATCAAGTGGCACAACATGTCCTACTGGCACTGCGATTGGGTGTCCGAGGTGCAGCTGGACGTGCATCATCCGCTGATGATACGCTCCTTCCAGCGCAAATACGACATGGAGGAGCCGCCCAAATTCGAGGAGTCACTGGACGAGGCCGACACACGCTTCAAGCGCATACAGCGCCACAAGGATAAGGTGGGCATGAAGGGCAACGATGACGACGACGAGGCCGCTCTCGAGGAGCGCTTCTACAAGAATGGCGTCAAGCCCGAGTGGCTGATTGTCCAGCGCGTGATCAACCATCGCACGGCACGCGATGGCAGCACCATGTATCTGGTGAAATGGCGTGAGCTGCCCTACGATAAGTCCACCTGGGAGGAGGAAGGCGACGATATACCCGGTCTGCGTCAGGCCATCGATTACTATCAGGATTTGCGTGCGGTCTGTACCTCGGAGCAGTCGCGCGGCAGCAGCAGCAAGAAGAGCAAAAAGGGACGCAAAACCAAGAAGCTGGAGCTGGACGACGAAGATCGTCCCGTCAAGCACTACACCCCGCCGCCGGAGAAGCCGACCACGGACCTGAAAAAGAAATACGAGGGTCAGCCAGCCTTCTTGGATGATACGGGCATGCAGCTGCATCCGTATCAGATTGAGGGCATCAACTGGTTGCGCTACAGCTGGGGCCAGAGCATCGATACCATCTTGGCCGACGAGATGGGTCTGGGCAAGACCATACAGACGGTAACATTTCTCTACTCGCTCTACAAGGAGGGCCATTGCCGTGGTCCCTTCCTTGTGGCCGTGCCGCTGTCCACGCTGGTCAACTGGGAGCGTGAATTTGAATTGTGGGCACCCGATTTCTATTGCATCACCTACATTGGGGACAAGGACTCGCGTGCCGTAATACGCGAGAACGAGCTGACCTTCGACGAGGGCGCCATACGGGGCACCAAGGTGTCGCGCCTGCGCACAACCCAATACAAATTCAATGTGCTGCTCACCAGCTACGAGCTGATATCGATGGATGCACCCTGCCTGGGCAGCATTGACTGGGCTGTGCTGGTCGTGGACGAGGCGCATCGCCTGAAGAGCAACCAGAGCA